AGAAAAAATACCTCAAGTCAACATCAACAGCAATAATTAAAATAAAAATATAATAATTTTCAAAACCAATCCGTAGTACGTTCCTGGTTTTGGCGCGACACCACCGCGTCGCGCAGCTACCCTAATTTGGAAATTTCACGTGAAAGTATAACGTGTGGCATATTTTAATGAAATGGAGAGCTTTTTTTATAACCCAAAAAATAACGAAATTATACTATTGCTGCAGTATTTTTATTATTAACGTGAATATAATAATTCATTATTTGGGAGTTATGAAAAAAAGCTCCATTTTATTAAAATATTCTATCCATTATGCTTTCATGCGAAATTTCCGAATAGTTTAACATGTAGAATATCGAGTAGATATAATTTGAAGTTTCAATTTTTCGTAGAAACATCATTTTTTCGAGATTCAATATATTAATCTATTTTGAAATTTCACATGAACGTGTAATGGACAGCAAAGTTTAATGTAATAGACGGCTTTTTTGAGCTTTTTTTCATAACCCGGTAAACAATAAGATTTAAATTTCATCTGTTTTTAACATGAATGGTACACAAATCTTCATCATATAGATTTGATTTACATAGTACAGTACATTGGACACCCCAACATACGGCACAAGCGATTATAGTTATAGATTACATGTAAATAGCAGATAATCAAGTAGCACATTAAAATACATATTTCTTAAATTATCGACTTCAATAAAAGTATTCACATTTGCACTTTTTTGATGTTGATCTGGAATTTCAATAATGTATTTTAGATTCTTGCACTGTGCTTACGTACGTACACATTAAAATATATATGGAACGATAAAAAATAAACAACTCTACATAGAAAATGCGTACATACTATCGTTATTATCAATTACTGAATATTAATGCAGGTCGGATGATATGTTAATACAGGCCAGATAATCTTATATTTAAAAATCTCATCACTACACGTCGTATTTATAAAAATTTTGTGCGTTGATTAGCAATATAACAAATATATTAAGGAATTTGTTTTAGATTTTACTTCGTTACAATGAGTAAACAAATTGCTAAAATTATCAATACCACTTTAAAGTTTCGAAGTTTTGATCAACATGCTGCAGGATAGAACAATACGTATCAGACTTGCATATTTTTAAAATAACATTCACGATTTTTTTTTTTTTAATGGTATAAATAACATAGCTCTTTTGATTATTTGCAGATTATTGCGTCTAATTTAAGAGCAATTAACAATACCCTACTTACTAATTGCCGGTATGTCCGAGAAAAAGAAGGAAATTACAAGTATGACTTCCAAGGAAGAGAAGGAAACCTCCAAGGAAAAGAAGGAATTTACCAGTGATGACCTTAAAATAATTCGAGAAAAAAAATTTACTATTATGATGTTGAAGGAAGAATGGGAGAGGACAGAAAAAAGATTAGTAAAACGGAAGAGTTTAATGTTAGCACATATTTCAGCATCTTCACTTACCATATTAGTTTGCATATGTTTATTAATAATTTTGAAATATAATGCCTCTAATAAAATTTTAAATATTGTGGCATCGAGTGTTACAGCTGGTGGTGGCATTTTAGCACTCATAAAGGCTATTATAGACAAAGTGTCAGTAAATAAGGATAGCATTGCAAAAGTGATTCAAGTTGTAAAAAACGATGGAAATTTAGATAAAATTGAATTAATAAATATGAAAGATGAAGAGTTGAGATATTTACCAACAGAAAGGCACAAGAACTATATAAAATTTTTAGGTCGCATTAATTGGCTTATTGGTTTAGAAGGGAAAATTGGTATATGGTTCGTCATTATAATGTCATTATTCATAATAATTTTGGCAGTTATCACATTTCTTGTCAGTATTAGCCCAGTCGTTATTCCTTTACCAAATTTGAGTCAACATTTGGCTGGAGGCATAATCGTGAGCGGAACACTATGGTTTACTGCTACAGTTTTATCCCGTTGGATAAAATTCTTCGAAGTTATGTCTAATGTTAATTGGAAGAGTGGAGATATTGGGAAAGACAAGAGTATTGTGTTTAGAATTTTCTTATTTATAACTATTCTACCTGCATTATTACTTTCAATACCCTTTGTAGTTCCTTTATCAATTCATTACTTGGTAATGCAAAGAACTTATGTATTAGAACAAGATATTTATGATATATACTTTGGAGAATATAAAACAGAAAATGATGACATAACATTTTTTGGAACAGAAATTGATGCTAAACTTATTTTGAAACTTGTTCATATACTTGGTCAGTATTTTGACCTGATAGAACTTAAAAATGATGCGAATAATAACGAAAATAATGATAAGAAGGACAAAGAGAAGTATAAAGAAATTATTAAATATTTAGATGAAAATGACATAGACGAAGAAATTGAAATAATTTATTGTAGGATTGTTGTGATACTTGTAGAAAAATTTAAACATATCATTAACGAACTTATTGAGAAACTTTCCGTGGAACTTAAGAAATTTTTGGAAAAAGAAGGGATGCTGGATGATAATCATTTTAGTTATGATGTGAAGCCGAATTATCTGGCATTGGAATTTGCTAAGGAGATTGTTAAAGAACTTGACACAAATATAGATATTCTTACAGCAATATTTGCTAAGGAGCTCAAAAAAATTTCTAAGCGAGATGACAAAAGTAAAGAGGAAATTCCTAAACCGTCTGAAGATGAAAAAACAGAAGATAATAATGAAGAAAATATATTTACGATAAGCATTAAAAAGATAAAAATAAAAAGAATATTACGTCAAGTCATGAACCATCTGAAGACGAAAAAACAGAAGATAATAATAAAGAGAATATATTTAAGATAATTCCTAAACCATCTAAAGATGGAAAAACAGATGATAATAACTGTTGGCTTATTAGCTTTAAAGATGAATTTGTTAAGAGCAATAAAAATGTTGAAATAAAAACTATTACGAGCAATGAAAACATTGATATAAATATGAGTGATACTGGATCAAATGACGGGAAAAAATAACCAACAAATATAGAACAATTGGTATTAAAAAAAGTTTTTTTTTTGAAAATTTAAAAATATTGGTCGTCTAGTAATGCAAGATAAAAATCAATTTGCACGACATCAGATTTTGCATTAGCGACAAAAATGCAATACAAATTTTCGATTAACAAGTCTACAGCCAATGTACCTTGTGTTAAAGAAGCAATATAGGAATTTCATAAAGGAAAGATACTTTTGAAACACAAAAGTTTACGTAGATTTCAAGACAATATTTCTAATTACATAGCAATAAGTTTTTTTCAAGCTGATACAACAGCATTTTATGTTGCTCATTGTCTGAGGGAGGGCTATAAATTTCTATGCAAAGTAAATAAAATTCTGCGTTTTAAAGCATTAACCCACTCCTATCTTTTTTCATCGGCATGCTGTAGATCTTTCCAGTAATATTCATGATCGATCGGACGTAGATCGTCGTGGTTATTGGCTTTGATTTTACTCGTGATCCGCCTCTTTTCCTTTTTGGTTAAAACGGAAAGGATTTTCGTCAAGAAATTTTATATTATCTTATCGATATTGATATCGATATCGATATCGTTATTTATCTGATATATTCTGAACCATCTGATATCGATATCGATATAGATATAGTCCCAAAAATTTTTTATCGTATTTATAATATTTTTAAGTTCACCGACTTTTGATTCCATATTTAGATTTATGCATTACAGCATTGCTGTGTAAACTTTATTTTGAAATTATGAAAAACGTGCTTAATAAAAATTTCAGATCATTCCCCGATTATAGCTATGCTTCCATAATTAGATGATACACTCTTATAGTTTACTAAGTATAAGCCAAACTTTATATTTTGTTGATTTTTTTTCTAGTGTATACTGTACTCACTTTTGCTTTAATTTCTTCAACATTCTTGAAATCACCTTTAAAATCATATTTTGGAATTGATGCGACTTTTGGTGCAATTGACTTGGGCATGTCTTCGTCTATGGTGTGTTTTCACAGTTTGTGGTGCATTTAGAGAGATGCTTTACGACGCTATACAAAACTAACATATCCCTATTATGTAAGCACAATAGTTAGCAAGCAATCGAATTTTTGCAGCACAATTGATTATAACCTTACATACTGTATGTTAATGTTTCGGGCAAGACCAAATGTTTTGCCAAATCCGAATCCAAAATTTGGGCGATACAAATTTCGCCCAGCATGCAAATTTCTGAAATGTCTGACAAAATCTGCAATTGCCCATATTTTAGACTCAATCTGAAGAGTCTGAAATTGTTCAAAGCTATGATTGGTTATGTTTAAAACTTGATTCAATAATGTGAATTTTTTTTTGGTTTGTAATTTTGTAATTTATGTGATAATTAGACAATTATGCATGCGGGAGCTTTGCTGCACAATTTCAACCACTGTTAAACTTTCCGAAATCGATATACATAGTTGACAAATTTAGTATCAGTATTGAGATCATACGTTTTGATAACATTATAAACTATTTAATTCACCAAGCCTGTTTTCACTAATAGTTTATAATAGTTTCAAATTTGATGACCTTTCAATGCTAATATAAAATCTATCCACCATGCATGTCAGTTTTGGAAAGTTTTAACAGCATTTAAATTCATTAATATTTTTTATTTTGCCCACATTAACTACTTATGTATATGTAAAGATCGTTAATGCAGTAATGTACTTCGAATATGTATAAATAGTTGGAACACAATGTATCCCATTAAAGAATCGAACATTTCATTCATTAAAATATACATACTCTTAAACCTCCCAAAACTGATATGCTTGGTGGACAGATTTTATATCAGTATTGAGATATTATCAGATTTAAAATATTATTAGATTCAAGTAGCAGAAATAGACCTGGTGAATTGATTTTTTATAAGATTTAACAGGTTATCAACTTTGACAGGGTTGGTTTTAGGAAGTACAGTATTTGAAATATATTTCAGACCACCTTGTTAAATCCAAAATATTTCGGAAATAAAAAACAATTTCACCAGAAACATTAGTGAGTAAGTTCTGTAAAAGATTTTTTTATAGTAATTCGCAATGGAAAAACAATAATTTCTATGCAAATTGGGTTGATTTAACCAAATATTACAGTCATCAGTAAGATTTTTTTAAAAAGTGCAACCCCAATACAAACTGATCCACCACTTTAATCACATATTATAGTCAATAGAATAACAAGTAGAGTTATACCTGGGTTGAGTGATCCGTACAGGTCACAGGTCAAAATTGCTCTAACCCGGATCAAATGAGTCAGAACTCGAAATATGCAAAAACCTACTAAAATGCTATATTGAATAAATGTTAATAGTATTGTAAATAGTCACCAGAATAACAAGTAAGTTCTACAACAAAATTATTTACAATATATGATAAAAATTATGACAATTACAAAGCAAAAGCTCAAACTTAACTCTATATTATAGTTACTGGAATAGTGAATAAATTCCGTAGTAGAGTTTTTTTACTGTAATTCATAATAAAAAAAAATCATAATAATTCCAATGCAAATTAAATTAATTTTTTAACTTTATACTGTGGTCACTGAAATAACAAGTTCCTGTATTAAATTATTTACAATAGAAATTATGATTATTCTGATGCAAAGTAACTCATCTTAATCTCTTAGTCAGAGTATGAATAGGGTAAATATTTATGAGTGCTGCCAAGGGATTGGACTTTAAATATATTTTGTGTACAGTTAGCCGTCTATGGAAAATCTATTATAATAATAGATACTAAAATAGCAAGTAAGCTCTTTAGCAGAATTTTTTCAGCTACTCATAATAAAATCATATTAATTCCAATGCAAAACAACTCAAACTTATCTATATATTTATTAAAAATCACAATAATTCTGATGCAGCTCAATTACATATGGTAATCACTATATCATGCTAGTGTAGAAAAATAGCATAATATAAAATACATTGTAATAGAAGCAATATAGAATAAATAATAGTAAAATGAATTTTAAAAAATAAGACAATCATTAGGAATTTTTCTTAGTGCAATTCTATACAGATTTTCAAAAACTAACTAATAAATTAAAATAAAAGTATGCGCAAAATATCAGACTCATTAGCTATAGCTACAGAAATTAAATACAATTCTGTATAAAATTTGAAAAATTATGCAATTTTACTTTGAAGATTTACACTTATTTAATTTTTCCAAAAATTAGTTACCTACTAAATTGTTATATAAATAATTAAAATTTTACAATATATATAACCTGAAGTGTATAAAAATCTTTACAAATAACACTACAAAGTAACAAATAATATGTAAAGACTACAAAATAAACACTAACTAATTTCTTTATTAATACAAATCTTTACCTGTTTTGCTATAAATTTTAATATTATAAAATTGATAAAAATGTAAGAATTCACTACAATATAATATAGTATACTCTATTCTAACTCTCTTTGAACAACTTATATGGCTAGTTTTTATTAAAAATATTAGTATAGCACAACAAATCTCAGGTATCTTCACTCCAGACTTAAGCGGCTTCTGTTTTTTAAGTTTTTATAATAATAATGGGGCTTCAAAATTAAACCATAGTATCTTATTTTATACTTTTCAGATTTATAATTCAATACAGTCATCCTTATTAATATCAACCTATTTGGGTTGCTATTATATTCATGTTTATATGATATTAATGAGAGAACATATTTAAAGTTGATATATTGATATTAATGGGTTGATATTAATGAGAGATGACTATATACCAAAAAAGTAGAAAACAAGTACAGCAACCTCTATTTAATTCAGATTAGTGGAATTAGCTATAAAATTTTAATTATTTATTCTCGTTAATATGAAATTAAAAAAAGTAGAGTAGAGGTTCTGTAAAAATGCTATTTAATTTTGAAACATATCACTGATTTATTAGTTTATTAATTTGAAGCCCACAATGCAAGTTTTTTCCTTTTTCTTTTTTTTACAGGCACAGTACTATTCACTTTGTGAACAATTACATTATTGACTTATTATTTATAGGCAACTAGAGGCTGCACATGTTGACGGCTTCACTACCTAGTTTAAATTAACTAGTCTTTACCAATTATTATAATATCTGCGCACCACCCATCACAAGTAAAATTACCTCACCATTTTTTGGTAATGCATTAAAGTGGATTTAGGGTGCTCTCAAGCATCTTCCTAAGTGTGATTAGATAGTGATTGAGGTGATCACATTATTACAATTAATGAATATAAAGATTGCGATCAATGATTGAATGAATTCTTTTCATATTATGATTATCATGTCACCAACAAACAAAAAAAAAAGAGCAACTGTTCAACAAGTAAAAAAAATATTACCATTACTGACAGCTTCAAATATATCTGTTCTGACTACTTCAAGTGCCTCTGCTACTTTTTTAGCTATTCTAAATGGTTCTTTTATCTTTTTGGCTAATTACAATACTTCTGCTGCTCCTTTTATGGATTTAACAAATTTTCATATATTGTTAGAACATCATTATTCTTTTGCACCACTATTTAATTCTTTAGTTTTAAATAGAATTAATAACAAATATGAAAAAGTATACATTGAATTTTATTAAAAATTCATAATTTTTTATTGAAAATTATTAATAAAAATTTTCTAAGATATCTCTTTTAAAGCCTCTCATTAGTGACAATAATCAAATTTCGACTACTAATAGTAGTCAAAATTTAGATGAAATCTCTAGTTCATTTAATGCTAATACTATTTTGGGAAATAAACCAAATAATCAATGGACATTATCTGAAGTTAGAATGCTAATTGATGAAGTTGGAAAAAATTAACATGCACTACAACAAGTAAGGGATTTGCAGAAAAAAGGCCATATTTGAGATAAAATCATTTCAAATATCCAAGTTTTCACTTCAAGTTCAATTTTAAAAGAGTGATCCAAAACTTCTTTCCAACAAAAATAAGATTCTCTTCACTAAAAATATTGTAATATAAAGGATACTATCAAAAATACTGGTGAAGAAGCAATTCAGAATTATTAGAAATTCTTTGGTGATATGAATAAATATCTAAAAGATAATCCAAGTATTGAAGCTCCAATTACAAGCGATTCGATTAATGGAATTAAATATAAAGAAAAAAAATAATGCTGATCATTCTGAAGATAATGAGGTAATATTATAATTTATTTATTCATAATATATTATTTATAATTTATTTATTGTACTCAGAAAAAGCAAATAATGACAGTACTCTAATGCTCAACCAGAGTACTTCTACTCCTTACGGAACTGTGAGAGCCGGGTATACGGTGAGCGAACCTAAAGAAGACATACCTATAATTCATATTAAAATTTCTAACACTCCTTATGATCTTTTTACCTGCTATAATAAATTTCTTCTATCTCTAAATTCTCAACCTCTTCAATCACCTCAAACAATTAATTCTTTCTTTTTACACTTATTTGAAATTAGTTTATGGGATAAACTCTTTGAAAAACTTGTTATATTTATTAAATCTGACTCTAGTGAAGCTTATATTTACTTACCAGGAGAGCCCTGCCCTTTGCCTGACCACATTATTGTACCCTACCTCAAAACTGTTTACTTCAACCCCTTTATTCCTCTTAAATCATATACTCATAATATCTCTTCTCCTAATACTACACACTCTTTTCTTAATCTTTCAATCGGCACTCACAATATTCATGTCTTCAATTAAGAATTAAAACAACAAGTGTGGGAAAAATACTGTTTAAATAATAACCTTGATATTATCTGTTTGTCTAAAACAAAACTTCCTCATAACTCTTTCTATTCAAAACTTTATTCAACCTCCTCCTATACCTACTATTGGTCCTGCACAGATAGTTCTAAAGCAGACACTGTAATTATGATTTGGAACCACTATATTTCTCATATTCATAATATTGTTACTCACCCTTAATATGCTATGTTTATAGATCTTTTTTTTTAAACATGATTTCAAATTCTACATCATTTCTATCTATCTTCCCAGTGATAATTCTACTACTAGACTATATACCTAAAACCTTATAATCCAATAGATTCAACAAGCAATTTCTTCTAATCTTCTCCCCATTGTTCTTGGTGACTTCAATGCTTCTACAAACTTGACTCTTTCCTCTTCTATTAAATTTAAACTCTTGCAATTTCTTATTTTTAATAATATATATAATTTGGCAGCTCATACCTCCTCATCCTCACCTACATAGCAAAGCTCTAGATATAGCAGTGAAATTGACTTCATTTAGAGTTATCATACTATTTTAAATTACTTAACCTCTTTTGAAACTGATAATACTAATACTAGCTCACTGGTCTTTTTCCTATGCTCTACAGGGCAATACAGATATAGAACTCGAACACATCGTAGAGTTTTTAACTACAAGATTATGAACTCCACAAAGTGAGAAGAATTTGCCAAACAAGTCCATTCCAATCTCATATCTAACTCTACTCCACTTTCTATTATTACTAATGAATCTCTTGAACTTACCTAGCACAAAATTCAAACTAGTGTCATCTCTACTGCCCTTCAACACATTCCTAATAAAAAATTTACTGTTCAAAATTTTAACATGTATTTTCCTCTAAAGCATCTCTTCTTCACTCTAATCTTAAAAAACTTGGCAATATTATTTGTCATACTAAACATTCTCTTAAATTCAATACAACCATTCTTTTATATTTTAATACAACCATTTTCTTTCTTAACCAATCTTCAAGTTTACAAATTCCTACTATTCCTACATCCCATCACCTTCTTTCATCCTGGATCTCTAAAGCTAATAAAGAATAGAAAAATATTTATCATTCCCAGAACATTAAAAATATTAAAGAAAACAGACAACAAATTAATAACTCTATCGACAAAAGATGCACCAAACTCTAAACTCAACCTACTTCTATGATCAATAGCATTCTAAATCATTACAAAGATTCTGTTAAATTCAATAATATCAAGCTTAATCATGATATTATTACTAATCCTAAAACTATTAAATCACATATCTAACAACATTTTGACAACTGGACTGCTTACTATAATATTAACCATAATATTTTTCAATCCTATTGGCAATCTGAATATAACCCTAAACAGAACATCAATCTCAATTGGTATACTAGCATCTTCTCTGACTTTACACAAGAGGAAATTGTTTCTACAATTAGTCAACTTCCTAACAATAAAGCATGTGATCCTTCTGGCATTAGTTATAAAATGATCAAACATGCTGGTCCATCTTTTATCCTAGCTATTATTTCATTCTTTAACTGCTGTCTCTCTCTTCAAACTATATCTAAACAATAGAAAGAGGGCTGTATCTTTCCTATCTCTAAAAAAACAATTTTTGATAGTAACTTATCAAATACTAGACCCATTAGTTTAGTTGAATACATTGGAAAAATTTATACCAAACTTTTTACTAATCATCTTAACAATACTCTGTTTTTATATAATATTCTTTCTCTTTTTAACTATGTTGCTCTTCCTGGCAATTCCACATCAATTCCTATCCACATTTTAAACAACATTATCAAAGATGCTAATTGCAATTCAATTCACTCTGGCTTCTCTCACAAGATATAAGTAAAGCCTATGACCCTATTAACTTTGAACTTTTTCAAAAATCACTTTATAGACTTCAAATACCCCAACAGCTTATCAATATTCTCTCTGACATCCTTTTTAATCGAACCAACTATGTTATTATCAACCTTGGTCTTACTGATTTTTACTCAGTTAAAAATAGTATTGACCAAGGTAAAACAATTACTCCTCTCTTTTGGTATATTTATTATGACCTTCTAATTTTATATATATCTTCACACTTTTCTAGCTATACACTTTCCATATCTTGGCAACCAAGTCTTACTCACCCATCTATTAAACATTATCACACTTCTGTATTGGTTCTAGCCTACATGGATGATACTATTTGGATTACTCAATCAAAAGAAGAACTTGACAAAATTATTGATACTGCAACCTTATTTTATAATATGGCCAATATTCAAGTCAAATCTTCTAAATTTATTCTGATATCTAAACATCCATCTGCCTCTGTTTTCTTTCTTAATTTTCACCTTTTATCTATCCCAATTAATCAACCATTTAAGTTTTTGGGCTGCTAGTTTACTCTCAATAATAAGCACACACAACAAATTTAAGTTATTCAAAATGAAGCTTTATAGTTAGCAAATATTGCTAATACTAAAACTATCACTAATAAACAGATTACCTATATAATTAACACTGTTATTATTCCTACTACTAAATACTGTATTCAAAACATTATCATTTCTTTCTCTACCTGTACTCTTATCTAGGGAAAATATTTAACTATTGCTAAACATAAATCTTACCTTTCCTATTCTACCCCTAATAGTACTATGTCTAACTATAATCTTTATGATATTCACAGCTTATAGAATATACAGCTCCAACAACATATTAGTAACTTTCTTAATCATATTAACAATACATCAACTCTTGGTTTAACTACTGTATTAGACTTTAACAACTTCAAAATAACCTTTGGTTTACTATTAATATTTTTCAACATCCTAACTCTCTAATAGATAGCATACTACTACTTTTAAAATCATACAACTTTTTAACTCTCTTAGTATATCCATTTATTTCAGCCCTAATCTATCTTGGCCACAAATCACATCAGGTGGTAGTTCTTCTCTTGAAAATATTCTTTCTCACCATTCCAAATATCATACTTTTAAATAGCAACTTCGCCACAAAAATATTTTTTTTCTTGAACAATTATGCTCTGCTGATAATAGCACACTACTTGATTGGTCTCATCTTTCTTCCAAATTACTTCATATTCTCAAAGAGAAAAAGCCTACCTGGATCCTTTATCTAGAAAATACTATCTTGTTATATTCACTCCTTTGTACTATTATTTCCTCTTTTCAACCTTCTGGAATTAACTCATTTGTCTATCAATCTAATTTGATTAACAAATCTTACAAGCCCTGGGTGCTTTCCTGTTATAACAATGATATTATTATTGGTCAAGTTCACAAAGTTTTCATCAATTCAACTCAATTTCTATTACTCACTAGTTACATGATATTAATTCTTCTCTATCAACTTGTTATTCACTTCCTCCTATTACTTGTAAGCCCTGCCAAGGCTGCAGTTTAAACTCCTTTCATTTCTCTAATCATTGTATATTTGAAGTTTCTTTAATTCTTTTTACCCAATTCTTTGGTAGAAAATCTAACAATCAATTTAAACTTAATGCTAATTATATCGATCTCATTCATTCTACTAATTTTAAAAACCACTCAAGACTCTATCTTTACCTTCTATTAATATTGTAGACTCTCTTACTTTATCTCTTTTTTATAATAATATTGCTTCCAATAATCTGCTTTAACTAATCAAAATTATCAAGAGTTCACTTTCTACACAGATAACTCTGTCAAAAATCTTGGTACTAAGAAATGTACTATGGATATTAGATAGGCCCAAGTTCATAATAATTCTGTTATTCATAATTTCTCTGTTACTGATAGGATTTTGTAAAGTATCTTAATATTTACCAAAAAGTCTCATATTTGGTCCTGGTTTGCTTTAAATATTTAGAAAAATAATATAACTTCCGGATACAAATCGGGATACAAATCGGGATACTAATATTATCTGGTAGGTACCTTAATATTTACCAAAAAGTCTTATATTTGATCCCAGTTTACTTTAATTATTTAGAAAAACAATACATCAACCAGATTCAAATCAGGTTACTGATATGACTATGGAAAGTATCTTAATATTTACCAAAAAGCCTCATATTTGGTCCTGGTTTACTTTAAATATTTAGAAAAACAATACAGGAGCCGAATACAAATCAGGTTACCGATTGGACTATGAAAAGTATCTTAAAAATTGCCAAAATGTCTCGTATTTGGTCCCAGTTTACTTTAAATATTTAGAAAAATAATACAACTTTCAGGTTTATTTAATATTCAAATCGGGAGACTGATTTGAATATGGACATTTCCTGAAAAGTCTTGTATTTGTGCCAAAGATCTGTTTACGATCAGAGACTAATTGGGTTTTATTTACCAGTAAATATGCATTTGTATATAGTTTAAAAATAGGAGACATATCGGGAACCCGATTGTTGTCCAGTATAGCTTCATTCAACCTGTAGTAGGTATCAACAGCAAAGCTAGACCTAGTAGCAAAAACAAAAGACATTTCTGATACTCATCTCACAATATATCATCATACTTACAACTCGCTTATAACTATTACTCAATCAATCAAATCGATACTCATCACCCAATACATCATATTTACAAATCGCTTATTTGATGTTATAGTAAAGATGCTGGTAAAATAAAATTAGAGTGGTGAAATTGGTGTTGAATTGGTGAAACTGGTAAAATTACCATACAGCATATATTAAAGTATCCAGGGTACTTTACAATTTAAGCAGTATATATATATATTATAGTTAGAGGGATATGATAGTCAGAGTAGAGAGTATAAATTTTCTATAAGTGCCTAGTAATGTTTTATATATTCTAAATAGTATTTTACATTTTAAAGTGCAATCAATCTATCTTCAATACCCGGTACTTTACATTCTAGGCCTCTAAAAATCACGAGGAATATTATAAAAGGGTCTTTTAGTTTATGCTGTATAGTAATTTCACTAGCATCTCTAATTATGGGTGTGGTTATGATCTAGTGACTATTCACGGCATCTCATAATTACCTATATTCTTACTTTTCAACTACAATTCCTTTTTATAACACAATCCAATGCTATATTCTCACAATCTATACCAACTAGATGATCTATGATTTGCATATCTCTAAAACATAATTTTAAATTAATGGCTATCTATTTCACATTTGTACTGAATTTAGTACAGTAAAAAAAAATAGTTTTTATGCCAACCATTTAATAAATTTTATTCAAATTTTACCAAAATAAGATTTGATATTAGACTAATATCTGTGTAAAATTTGAATAATATTTATTAATAAAAATTTTGAACAAATTAGTTTTAAAGTTGTTGTATTTTTTTGAAAATTCCCTGTACTTAATTTAGTACAGCAATAAAAATTAATTTTTGCTAAATATTTTGATAAAATTATAAAAATATAAAATTTTTAGATTATTTTAGTTCTAATTTAATTGTAAAAAAAATATTTTATTTAAAAAATAATTTTTTAAAATAGTTTATATAAGCCTGTTTTAAGGTAATACAAGCCTAAATATAGTAAGTCTATTTCTATATTTGATAGTAAATCATATGTTTTATTATAAAAAAATTGCTAAACTTAAATTTTGTATAACTTTTTATCTACCAATCCAATTTTAATGATTTTACTTTTATTAAAATCAAAAAAACTAGCTCCACAATGTATTCAAATTTGAAAAAAATTTAATCAAATAAAAATTTTATTATTTTTTTTTTAATAAATTTTAGTATCAAAAATATATAGAGGTAATTTTATTATTCTATTATATTACATTATTGCTTTGTTCACTACTATAACTTTTTTTTTACATAATAACTTTAAATAAAATTTTACAATTTTTTTTATAATTGTTATATCATGTTACTTGTATAGTAGTACAAAGCAACACTTAATTTTAATTAGTAAATTTAAAATAAACTAAAAATTTTTAGATTTTTATTATTTTTTTAAAAAAATTAAACAAATTTGAATTTTTTTAAAAAAATATTAAATTAAAAAATTATAAAAACTTTTGAAAATATGTTTTATATATGCTCAGATATTATATATATTTTTTTAATTGTTTACTAATATGTAAAAATTTAAGCTATTGTATTTAATTAAATATATTAAAATAGTATATTATATTTAATAAAATTACCAATACTCAAAAATTTTTTTAAACTTGCTAATATAACTTTTGTTAAATTAGCAGCTTTTAAATATTTCAAAGTAAAATATAGATATTTATTTATATATTATATAAATTTAATTTAAAGTTAATAAGAAAAATTTAAATTTTATGACTGTACTAAATTCAATATTTTGTACTAAATTTAGTATAGCAAATGGATAGCCATTAAAATATCGATACAATCTCTAGCAACATGATATAACTTAAAGACACTGGTAAATAAAATTAGGTGTGAAATTAATTTGCTTAAGGGTAGAGGATACGTAGATTATTTATTATATGATTTTTGTAGTACAACGTGATTTTTACAAAAAATAAAATATGCTACTAATAAACTTTTTACTGTTTTAATTAATTTTTATAAAATTTTTATATTATATAGATTAATATCTATTCTTTATAATAGTAAAATTTTTAATAAATCAAATATTTAAAAAAAATATACTTGTATATATTGTAAGTTTTCCGTAGTTATTTCAAATTTTCTGAGGTTACACAAAATCGTTAGTTTATATCATATGATCATCATATGATTTTTATAAACAATTTATAATACTAAATATTTAAATACATTTAGCTCAATAAATATCTAACCAATTTTAATGATTTTACTACCTTTAGAATCAAAAAGACCTGTTCTACATTTTTTATTAGGAATTTAAACCAAGTTTACTTAATAAAATTTTTTTAACTTCAAAAAGAAAAAAAACTTACTATTAGTTTTATATATAATTTGTAAACAGTATCCTCTACCCTTAATATAACATTACACTTGACTTACCAAGTTTAACTTATAAGTCAATTCACCTGTTTTTATATGAGTTACCCACACCCGAGCCCAACAACTAGATGTATGCATATCTTTCTAATATTCCCAATTAGACACTATTAAAATTAATAAGTATATAAGTATTAATTATTAATATATGTTAATAACCGCAAAAATATCTCTTATATACTTCAACTTGAATAATTACAAATAAGAGTCCATTCGATATATATCTCTTTTTTGATTAATTTAATATGTAAAATATTAATTATTAAAATCTGTTGATAAATCATAATAACATTCCTATTATATATATTTTACCTGTCATGCATTTAATTACGAATAGGAGTATATCTCTTTTGATTCTATTAAACTAACAAGTACGTAAAATTAATTAAACTTTTTACCGAATTACATATGCAGAAAGGAATAATTATGTATGCAAATGGCCTAGAAATGTTGTGATTCACAAACAATTAATCACTATTAATCATAAATATCTAATAATTAATCTTTAAATTACTTAAACACTTACTTGTATTAATCACTATTAATCATAAAATATCTAATAATTAATCTTTAAATTATTTAAACTCTTACTTGCATTAATAGCATATCAAAAGTAATTTGATTTAATATGTATAATCTAAAAATGTCTTGATTAATAATATCAGAAATTATAATTAATATTTTTAAAAAAATTATAAAAATCAGCAGCTGAAAAAATTAAAAAAAAAATTAACTATTCTTAAAATATACTTATCCTTTTCAAAGTATATAATTTATACAACTCAATATTTTGATCTGGTTTCAATATGTCAAGCACAGAAAGCATGGATTTTATAGAAGACGTAGAGAATACAGACTTCATGAAAGACAGAGAGGATATAGATGAAATAGAGTATACAGATTATATGGATAAAATGGAAGATGCAGATGAAATAAAAGGCTTGGAAATGGAAGACATGGAAGATGTGGAAGATGAAGACATGAAAGATATAAAAGACATGGAAGACATAGATGAAATAAGAGATACGGAAGTTTCTAAACATGCAGAAGACATTGTGGTCGCTGGTAGTAGTAAAATGCTTGTGAAAATCTCTCCTAAGACAAGCAATAGTAAAAATAAACCATCACTTGTATGGGAATATATAGAGAAAATAATAGTTGAAAATAAAGTTGTAAAAAAAAAATGCAAATTATGTGGGAAAAAATATAGCCCACCACATCCACAGGAGTTCTAAGTAATCATCTTAAAAAACATAACAGTATACTTAATTTTAAAAAAAACTATTTCAGTTTAACTAATAATCCATACAGAAAAGGAGATGCTTAATGTAAAAAAGATTGCTTTAATGCTATCTTTAACCTTATAATTGGTGCCCAACTTCCATTCAAGTTTGTCAAAAATAAGTATGCTTGTGAAATGGAAAATGTATATGATCCAAGATATGTGTTACCAAATTATAAATATATAAGGAAAGTAACCATATCTAGGTTTGAAACGTGGTATAAACTTATTGCAGAAGAGCTTGAAAACCTTACTACTAAAGTTGCACTTACTATGGATACTTGGAAATCAAGTGCAGATCAAGTATATCTAGCTGTAACTATACATTATATTGATAATAAATGGAAGATGTGTCATTTCTTGCTTGACCTTATCCATTTCAAATATTATCATACTGCATTGTGTATAAAGGAGTTTTTTATGAATGCTGTAATGAAATGAGAATTAGTAATAAAGTAATCACTCTAACAACAAACAATGCCCCTTCAATAGTTTTATGTGGAAGTTTAATAGAACAAGAATGGAACTCTAAATTTTATCACCATTATTATGCAGCCCATGTCCTCAATATCACTGTAAAGAATGATATAGCGCACCATAACAAAGCAATTAAAAAGGTCTAGAAATTTGTAAATAAAGTTCAGGATTTAACAGTTGGGACCCCCACAGCAAAAAGGGGGATGAGTTAAAAAATTTTTTTAAAAAAATTCAATATCTCGAAGAATCAAATTGATTAGAATAAAATTATCATAAGAACAAATTTTCAAATTTTTTGGCACATCCCCCCTTTTACTGTGGGGGTCCCAGTTATGAGTGACAAACTTCGAGATTTTTGTATAATAAATTATAAAACATACAGTAAGCTAATAATTGATGTACCTACATGATGAAATAGCACCTACTGTATACTTTTTCGATTCAAAGAAATACAAAGTGAACTTAAACTTCTTAAAACTGCATATCAGAGCCTTAAAAGCAGTTACCCTAATATAAGTGAGTAGATAAGCATTAATAATATTATTCACTTATTAAAGCCGATGCTTAATACAACTGATATACTTTTAAAAAGTTCATATCCAAGTATTAGTGATGTCTGTTTGGTTTTAAAGGGTATTTTCAACATGTTCAAATCTTTGTAGCTAATAAATTGCATTCAAAAGAGAAACACATAATGGCAGAATCTATTAACAACCTGTTAACCAAATATTGAAGTATTCTCAATAGTAACAAATCAACAAAAATAGCCACCATTCTTGATACTGCATCTAAATTAATAATATTTCCAACTTCTAAGAGAGAAAGAGCTATTACTAGTCTGAAAAATATAATAGCTCAGTATGCACCACCAGAATTAGTAACAGGTGCTACCTCTACCTCCACCTCCACATATAATGAAAAAAGACAAAAATTTATGTCATTAGTAATGCAACAAACAACAGAACTACAAACAATTGGAAAAGTAACAGAACAGTTGGAAACATATTTGTCTTCACCAATCATTGCAAATGGTTCTGATCCTCTTCAGTGGTGGGTGATAATAATAATAGATTCCCGATACTTGCAAAGATAGCACAAAATTATCTTGCAATCCAAGGATCAAGCATTCCTTGTAAAGAAGCTTTTTTCACTGCTTCAAGAACAATTTCAAAGCTCCGTAATCATCTCAACCCTGAGACAGCTCATGTATCGATCTGTTTAAAAAGTTGGATAGAAAATGATAGATAAATAAGAAATTTAAACAAGATTGCGGGTCACACAATTTTTAGAATACTATTTATAAATAATCATGTTATGCTAACTATATTTATAGAAAATAAATAAATATATATACGTACAGTACCTTCGTCAGCTGTTCTTTTTACTTTTATAAATCGAAATCAACTCTACTAATATTATAAAAAAGTTCATTATAGAGATTCATATTTTTAAACCCACTATTTTTTTATTCAGTGTTTGCAATGGAGTGAATTTTTGAACATGCATACGTACGTATGTATTTTATTGGACATAGTCCAAATGCAAATACTGCACATTATATTAGACCTTTGACAAGTTGTTATCATTCTGGTCTAAAAATTATAAATTATAGACATTATAAAAGTAAAAGTATTTTGAAAAATGATTCGAGTAGAAATAATGTTAAAAAGCTTTTTTAATTAGTGAACTCACTAACCTGTAGGATTGTTAAACATTCGGTTCAAATTAAGACTTTGACTTAATCATATGATGAGAGAAGTTAATTGATTTAATACACATTTTAGTATAAATTGAAAACCGCTCTTGCTATATCTATTCAAATATCAGGTGGTTATTGAAGTACAAACCAACTTAAAAACCGACTGAGCTGTTTAACATCTCTACAAACCTGTACGTATATAGTACATACATACATGCCACAGACTTATAATATCACTTTAGTTACCAGTCGATCGAGATGTCACACCTAATTTTTTATCATATGATTTTCATAAATTACACAAATCGACAAAATCACATTTTAGAAATTTTCTCCCCAAGTCTTAGTCACAACATATAACGTTTTTTTAAAAAAAATGTTGCCAGAGCTTCAATGAAACAAACGGCACAAATAATATGAAAAACCAACGTTACAAGGTAATGTGAAACCTCTTTAAGAATGGGCAATTATTTTGCCTTCTTTTACAAGATTCTTTTAGAGTTTTCAAGATCTTGACATGAAAAGTAGCTTGTTAGATGCGCACAGGTGAGAACTTCCTGTAAAATGCATCTTTGAAAGAAGGGTATCTTATAAAAATTATAGAGAAAAATAAGAAAAACTA